GTAACAAGAAGCTATTAGAAACAAGTGCATCGCTACTAGTAACAAGTAGCTACGTTAGTAGCGTCCTTTGGTTCCCAGTAAGGCCAGGAGCGCCCCGTTCGTCGCACCCGAACGCTCCGTTCGTAGAAATGCCCTTCGTTACCTACTAGCGAAAGGAAGCCTACTAGCGATGGCCGCCAACCTACTAAACGGCGCATTCGACCGATCTTTCCACCTCTTCCTACATCTTGGTCTACGCCGAGGCTTTCATCTTGATTTCTTTTGCGTTTCAAGTGGTTGAAGGATCCTGGTCTGCCGTCCTGCCTGGAGGACTACTGCTCAGCAGATAAGCTCTTCGAGTACTTTGAGAAACAATTTGGAGAAGGCAAAAGGGACAGTTTGGAAAGCTTTCCAAGCATTCTTGTACAACGAAAGAAAGAAACAAAGAAAGAAGAAAGAAAGAATTGACGAAAGGAGAAAAACCAAGGTCTGTTAAACAGCATTCTTGGATGGTAAGAGGCTTTCATGGTTTGTTGAGGTAAATGTGATCCAAGACCTCTTTATTTCTCCCCTCTTTGATTCAATTGTTGATTCTGGTCCCGACACGGTTGTTTTGCTTCTAACAATTCTTTCAAGACAACTGGGGACAGAGATTTGCTTCATTCAGCTGGGTGCATTCATTAAGATGCAGCCAGCATTGTTTTGGATATATAAATTTTTGGACACCCATCCTTTCAGCTACCCATCAAGAAGAAGATCCCAAGCGCTGCCATTATCATCGTCCAGTGTCGGAGATTTGATTGCAACTCAACCAGTAGATATGAAAGTCTTTTGCTCCTTGGAACTGTTGACACCTGTTTGAGAAAAGTTCCTTCCAGGCTCTGTGCATTCAGCTGTGGTACAAAGTGCGCCTTGCCCCAGAACCTTCGCGTTGCTTCGACCAACTTGCAGAACCAATCTCTTTATTGCCAGTAACAGGCAAAGAGAGCCGCACGGCAGTCATTTCTCCTTTGGAGGGCTTCAGTGACCTGTTGTTTTCTGATTGACGCACAGAAAGCCAGTAGATGCGGAATGACGCATCACCAATCCAATGGAACAGGCCTATCAGGCCTATATCAGCCGAAAGAAGTATGGTCCACCAACCACAACGTGGTCGTGGTGGGGGACGTGAGCAAACAATGCGTGAGTAGCCAGACCCTACTAGCTTCATTCATCCGGAGGGTTTGGTGAAGATGCTATCAAACCACGAAGGTGCTAGGAGGATACAGATCTTTGTGGCCAAACATGTTCTCTGCCACATCTCGTTGGAGAATTGGGCCTTGTTTGAGTAACTGTCCGGGGGGGTTTCAGCCAAAAGAGAGAATGATCATAAGGAACAGAGACTGTGATGAGCCCTGTAGTTTGTGCAAGGGTGGCCGGTTTCGGTGAATGACAGTTTGCACTGTTTGCCTGAAGACTTGCTGCTCAGGACACCAGTGATTTGCATCAGATCGAGAACTGCTGCCCCTGCTGGTACCTCAAAGCTTCGGAAAGGCCGAAGATCGAGAACTGCATGTGTTTGCCTGTGCACTGTTTGCCTGTGACTTGGAACGCCCACCTTGACGCCCCGTTCGTAGCGTCCGAACGCTCCGTTCCTAGCAATGCCCTTTGTTCCTAGTAGCATTTGTTCCTAGTAGTAAGGCCAGGAGCCCCTGGTAGCGTCCCTGCTCCTAGTAGTAAGGCCAGGAGCCCCTAGT